TGAGCCTCAATCCATATTGTAGGCTGCAGTCCTTGACACTGTGCAGCAGGCGCTTCAGGTCCTCTTCAGTTTCAGCAAGCAGGGTTGTGTCATCTGCATAACACAGATTGTTGATAAATCCGCTCAGAGGAGGGGTTAGGCATCTGACTAGCTGAAGTTGGGCAGCTTAGAGGACAGCCTCAGACCCCGCAGACTCATCCCATCTTCCCATGTAATCGAAGACGCAAAAACCCCACGACATTCGTTCCAGCAACTGTCATACCAACTCCTATTCCCAACTGCCGTATTTCTTTTAAGTTAGGATTTTCTAGGTCCTTTATGTGGTTGTTGCTACCCCTCCTCGAACGTCACTAGTCTTCCAGAAACACACACTGAAGAAGAAGGGAAACTTTGATGTCTTCTCTTTGATCATGAGACCCAATCAATCATTAAACTCCTCAGTTTCTTCTGAATCCTAACGGAATACTCTCTCTTCCACTTAATTCTTACTATTGTCACCAAGGCTTAATTTATCATATCCCTGGACCAACAGTCTCCTTTCAATCAAACCAACTTCTCCAGATCTGTTTTCTAATCAGCAAAATGAAAATAACATCCAGGTTTATTTAGAGTATATATGTTGGCAAATCGTGAAAGTTTAAGGGAGGGCAGCTATTACTCGCCTATCTACTTTTTTACTTTTCCTCTTCAAAATTTTCCAGTGGCTTTCAATTGTACAGAGAAAAAACTAATTTATGTGGCACCAAAGCCCTTTTTTCCTCTGTTGAACACAATGCCTTTTCCTATACCTCTCGTGTTAACTGACAGATGTCAATCAACAAACACTTACCAAATATGCTCTATGGGATATGGAGGAAATATAAATAAATAGATCCTTGCCCACAAAATGTTCACTGGCAATTAAGAGAAAAGGAATCATATACAAAATATCTTGTGATGTTAGTATTATGTGGCAGTTACTTCACACAACTTTAAAGCTTATCTCTAGAACTGTATTTCCTAAAATACTCAGGAGAGTTACTCAAGATATTTTTTAATATGCCAAAGGGCAACAGACAAAGCTTGCCAGAAAAGAAATTCTTTATTGGTTTACATACAAGCATTCATATACATTGTATTTCATTCATGTACATTTTGATTTATACACTCACTCATATATTGTTGTTATGTGCCATTGAGTAGCTTGCAACTCATAGCAACCCTATGTACAAGAACCCTAAACGCCGCTCTATTCTGTGCCAACCTCGTTGTCTCTGACACACTCATTCCCACCACCCCAATCACAGAACTGATCCATCTCATCAAGGGTCTTCCTCTCTTGCGCTGTCCCTCCACTCTGCCGAACATGATGTCCCTCTTCAAGGAGCAGTCCCTCCTTGTAACATGTCCAAAGTATGTCAGACGAAGCTTCAGAATCCTTGACTCCAAGGAGCATTCTGGCTTCATCCTCTCCAGGACAAAACTGTCTGTTCTCCTAGTAGTCCATGGTATATTCAATACTCTTCTCCAGCACCACAGCTCAAAGGCATCAATTCTCTTTCTATCATCCCTAGTCACTGTCCAACTCTCCGATGCATAGCATGTAATTGTGAAGACTATAGCCTGGATCAAGTGCACCTTAGTCTCCAGCCTGATGTCGTTACATTTTATATAATTAATTACTACTGGTCTTCTAATTGTCTAATTAGCAAATCGTTTGTGAAAACTAAAGTTTTATAAGTTCCTAATAAATATTATTTAACAATAATAACAAATATTATAGAATATTATAATAAAAACAAGTTTTCTCACCTGTTCAAGTGCTCTAGGAAGGTCATTTACCCAGTGCAAGCTAAAATAACAAAAACAGATATTTGTTTTACCTTAATTGGTAGAATGATAAGCCTAAAACAGTGTTAGTTTGATGTCAGAAACTACCAAAATTCAGTGCCTGTTTCACACATTTTAAAATCATTATTTCCAGGAGAAAACCTTAGAAAACAGAAGGTTCTCCCATATCTGTAAATAACTTTAATTAAGAAAAATTGATATGGTTAGCTTCCTAATTTTTCCCCCCTCTTGTTGTATAACGTTAAGTCAGATCCGACATGCCCTGGAAGAGATTGCCCCACCTTCTCCAGCAGAGCATCTGGTGGATTCGAACCACATACCTTTGGTTTTACAATGCAGCTTTTTACTGCTAGGCTATCAGAGTTTCCTCCTACTTATTTTTTAGTGCAGAATAAACTGCAATCATTCCTATTTTCTCCTTTCATCTTAAAAATGATTTTCTGGGATGTTATTTGAGGAAGGTAATTAAAATAATCACCTGATGATATGATCAAAGAAGCTCACAAATTAAATCCAACAGTTTTTCCAGAAAAGCATAATAACCTATGTAAAATCCAAGTCATATTTTCCTAGAGATGAATAAGTAATTAGCATATTTCAAATTCACCAATTTTATATATTTCAGATAATTAAAATGCTCTATTTACTTAAACTAGAGCTTCATCATATTCAGCTAATAACTGAGAAGAAAATAGGAAGGCTCTTGTACTGTCTTCTGACCCTTCTTAGTGCTTCACCGTATACATGACGGCAAGAAACAGACCACTCACACTCCTGTGCAACAGGATCAAAGGGTCATGCCGAATGCTGAATACTCACTGTGCTCTGTATTTCGTTAAACTTGTAATAACTTTCAAAATACTTCCAAGCAATTACATAGCACATGCTCTATCATATGAAGAACTGAAAATCATCAAAATTAGTTACCTACAAATAGCAAGCAGATAAGCTGACTTTAAAGATCAGGTTATGATCTTCTGCCTTAAAGCTTTCCATTTCAAGACAGAATGTGGTATTTTCCTAAATTAGCTCAGCACTATCTAAGAAAGTAGGGAAGCAATTACAAATTCACTGAGGAAATGAACTAAGGTGACCAATGATTTCAAGTAATCTGTGATTGAGGCGCTGCTCAGCACAAAGGAATTTCAATATTGCAACTGGCAATCTCTGAATCAAACTGATATAATAAATCACTCTAAAAACAGCTTTCACAACAGTCTTACTGAACATAATGAGTATGGTGAGGTGTATTTTTTTTAGTCTACCTGACTATAATAATAAAGTGGGAGAATTAATATACCACATAGAATTATCTATTTGAGGACAAGATCTTTGAATTCATTTTTATACACATGAACTTCACCTGATGGTATGCATAGGAATCAGATCGACTATA